ATATATATATATATTTTGTGAAGTCCCCCTTAAAATCAGGGGACGCTTTTTTCTGTATTCAAATTTAACGGTAGCTTCAATATTAATAATTCACAAAAGTTATTTAATTTAACGTGACTTTATGATATATAATATAAATTAACGTCTTGAAACATGTTTAATTTACTTGGCAAAATATAGCAGGCTCAGATGTCCAATTGAACAACGAAGTAGATTAGTAGATACACCATCTACTTATATAATGAAATTATAAAGGAGTTTTGAATAACTTGCTAAAAAACAAAACATAACAATAAAAATAATTTATATTTCACATTTTCAAAACAGAAAACAAATCACAAACATACTTTTAACGATCATTACCATCATATTTAAATTTCACTTTGGGGCGCGATGAAGTCCTCAGTCGATCCCACTTGGGTGTGTACCTGTCCAATTACCGTTAGCTTTGCGCAGTGGCAGTATCGTAACCAATGAGGTTTAACCGAGGTGCGATTATTGCTAGTTGAAAACTTTTCCCAATACCCCGCCTGGACGTCGTGAAAGACCGACGGCCATGGCAATTTTTGATAGCCCGATTAAGGGCTGCAAATAATCTAATGTTAATATAAGAATTATCTCATACCTTCATCTGGATATCTGAGTTTCTTTGTAGGTATGTGTATGTATAGGATCTACCTTGTATATCCGGTTGACAGTCCCGAAGAGGTTCTATGTTTATCAAATGACGCTGTTATTATAGATAATGGAGCAAGCATGTTGAGAGGCAAGGGATAATCTTCAGTTGGGATTCTGCCATATGAACTCTTATGTATAATATTGACTTGTATTTCATGACAATTTAGCTAATCAATGGAACACGAGAGCATGATTCTGGACTTGTAAACCTAGTTGCCTGACTAATAACGGAAAATAAGGTAAACATAATATTTACAGATATATATGGAAATTCCAGTAAATGTGTTTAAAAACATTAAAACAAAAAGCTGGCGTGGGTAAGATTACATTTGAAGATCTGTCCTAAAGTCCACCGGAACGCTACTAACGTATTCTATTTAACGTACAAATATATTCCATATCTAACGAAACGCAAAGTTGCCTACAAAAATTGCCATTCCTGGCAACTTGGTATGATACTGCCTTAAGGTTGGGAAATGAATTAAGAAAATATAAATATGGAATCTTCAGTTTATTTTATTTTTATAAATATTAGAAAAAAAATCTGACAAATGTATTCTCCTAGAATATTTTCCATGGCTTTATATAAACCAACTCATAAAACATGCCTTCTCGAATCTCCCGATTTTCGTATCGTAACATGTAATTAGCTTATTTTGGTTACGGAATGAAATGCATATTCATTATATACAGACACACAAAACGACTGTCTGTTCTGGAGATTTGGACACTGCCACTGTGTGTGGAAGACCGGCTGGTTACATCTGGGTGTTGGCGGGTTTACATTTTATTTTAAGAAGGTACTGATTATATGTGGTTTTACACGTTGCTCGGGTTTTATAGTAACATTTGTGCATCAATGAACATAAATAACTTCTGGCATATAGAGAACCTGAGTTGCTCCAAGTCTTGGAAATACTAGCAGTAGCAGCTGCCAAAACTGATAAAAACAATGTTCAGCTGTTGGTATTTGATAAGATAAGTTTGGTAAAATCAGGCAATGATTTTACTCTTCCATATACGCAATTCTTAGAATCAAGAGTGTTAAACTATTAGCCCTTTGAGTATGTGTAAGCATATATAACTATAATTTTGAAGATATATATAGACCAAGGTAGAGTGTATCCTCCACATTCATGGACCTTGGTGTGCACCTAAAGTCATTTTGCCTCCTCCCCCACTATTGCCACTTCCAGCATGAGAGCCCTCTAGTACTAGAACTTTACCCCACACACGTACAGTCTCATTATGGTAAGAAAGCTCCCCTCAGGGAAGTGGACTAGCTAGATTTGCCACCAGAAAGGCAAGCCGGTATTGGGACTTTTAGAAGTCCATAGTGTGGAATCCAGGACTGATCTTCAATAGTCTTTCGGGGAATGGCGTTGCATATATAGCTCCACTTTTAATCTCAGAACAGAAAGCAATATCAACAGGGGATAGACTCATGGAGGAGTCTTGCCATTGTTGACTCTGCCTCATGGAATGCCATACTCATTTGGGTGGAGAACTTATGACAAAAGGGAATGAAGTTTAATGCTTAACCCACATTAGGTCATGATGGTGCTGAAAGTGAATTGCTGTGTCATCGGTTACAATGCATTATAATGATAACATGATGATAATGATTATACTAATGATAATGACTAATGTCACAAAGTGCGAGTCTGATGCTTAAATGATAATGACTAATGTCACAAAGTGCGAGTCTGATGCTTAAATTATCATGACATGACGATCAATATTGTGTGAAGGGGAAAAGCACAAGAAATACTCGTTTAGTATTATTACAGTATTATGATAGCAACTTCATACTGATAATATAATACGATGTTTGCAATGCTATAAGAAAAAGTATGGCAACTGCTTTGTTCTTCACGAAATCGGACACCCAAGACTTAATGAAAATAGCAGTAATAGCGGAACAGTTATGGTGATGATGATAATAATGATAACGATGATAATGATAACAATCGTAAGAAAAATAATCATTTTTATCGTTACTACTATTGTCATATCGGTGATCTCTTCAATGCCAACAGATGCAGGTGACTCACTCCCACTTGCTCAAGAATATAAAAGAATTTTCAAGGTATACAGGTGTCTGATAAGAAAGGAAAACGTTATATTAGTTTTTCTTGCGATATGCGTTGGAACTATGCAAAGTGTATACGAGAAAGAGAAGAGAAAAATATTATGCAAAACACAAACACATGCACACACACGCATACGCACACGCACATGCACACATACACATATTCATTTCTTTTTCTCTCCCCACTTCCTTTCATTTGCATCTCCCATTCTTTCCCTTCCTTCCTTCTTCCTCTTTCTTTCAGTTTCCCTTCTTCTCTTTTTCTCCTATTACTTTATCTCACAGCCTGTCTATGACTTCGTCTTCGTATGTCTCGTCTGTGTTGGTATCTTGTCCTTTATTCTCATGTTTATCGCCTTTGTTATTCCTAATTTTTCATCCTCTTGTATTTTCCTTCTGTGTAAATGTATAGATAAGGGCCTGAAAAAGTAAAAGAGAAAGAAAAAAAAACATTCTAAGATAAATATATATATAAACATCTGTAACAGGCTGGAACAGCATGGAACGTGGGAAAAATACAACTTGAGGGCTAATAATAAAGATAAAAAAGAAAACTCGGGTTAAAAGTTATCTAAACACAGGAGAAAACAAGACGCACACACACACACACACACACACACACACACACACACACGCATATATATATATATATATATATATATATATATATATATATATATATATATATATATATATATATATATGTATATATTATATATATATATATATATATATATATATATATATATATATATATATATATATATATATTACACACACACACACACACACACACACACACACACACACACACACACACACACACACACACACACACGCATACACACACACACACACACATATGTCCCTGGTTTCTTTGTTCAAAACTCATATGCATAACTCTTGGTTCTTTTTATGGGTTATACATTATTTCGGGGCATATTAAACACAATATTGTACTTTCATAGTTATATTCATCGAAATTTCACACATACAGATAAACACAACTGGTAGGCTGTCATCAGGAGTTCCGTTAGTGAAATGTCTGTGAAACGAGGCAATGAAGTGTCCAGGCTAAGACTCACTCACCTGGGGTTAGGATAGAAAAGCAAAAGCCCTGGGTAGCTACAGGTGGAACGGGCTGCAGCTATCAGTAATAATATGCTCGGTTCAAATATTTACCAATCGTTGAGTATACACAAGAAATGGAAGATGAAAAATAAACGACCTTACAGTGTGTTCAGGTGGAACGGGCTGCAGCTATCAGTAATAATATGCTCGGTTCAAATATTTACCAATCGTTGAGTATATACAAGAAATGGAAGATGAAAAATAAACGAGCTTACAGTGTGTTCAGGTGGAACGGGCGGCAGCTATCAGTAATAATATTCTCGGTTCAAATATTTACCAATCGTTGAGTATATACAAGAAATGGTAGATGAAAAATAAACGAGCTTACAGTGTGTTCAGGTGGAACGGGCGGCAGCTATCAGTAATAATATTCTCGGTTCAAATATTTACCAATCGTTGAGTATATACAAGAAATGGTAGATGAAAAATGGAGAGGTGTGGAGAGCACGGAGCAGAGTGGTAGACCATAGAATGGCAAACACATTTATTTTTTATCTTTATCTGTATTTTTCTATTATTATTGTTTATTTATTTTATTATTATTATTATTATTATTTTTTAACGAAAGTCACATGGCGGTTAGTTGTGAACCCGAAAATGAGAAAGAAAAAACTGTCACTGGTTTATTTCCACAGAATTTCGTGCAAAAGTAACGGCATCACCATCATCATTATTTCTCATTACCATCAACAGCAGAATTATTTATAATTATAATAATACATACCGTAATCATCATTAGCGTTCTTATCATCATAATCATCATATTATGCATCACAATCAATATCATCACAATTATCATAGTATCATAAATATCATTATTATCACGTTACTGTTGTATTGTATTGTACCACCCATCAGCTAACCCCCAATTAAAGTAAGATTGTATTTCCTTTTTCTCCTGTTTCTTTATTTTACTTTTTTTTCTTGTTGTTTTGTTAACATGTAATCAAGAGTTATATTTGCTCATCTGTAGCATATTATACAATCCCTAAACACTTACTTTTTTCTATCCCAATTCCAATAATAAAACGGTATTCTACCAAATGTTTTACCAAATGCATAAATCAAAGAAAAATAAACATAAGGGAAAGACATTTACTTTAGTGTTTTTATTCTTTTATTTTTAGGGAGATACAGTTGCGACTAACTGAAGAATACAAGGCAACGTCGGAGAGGCCCTGAATCATGCAGAGGAGCCTGGATCAACAGGACCCGGAAGAGGCTTTTTCGAGGATCCAATTATTGTACGAAGTGACACGGGTGTACACGCCTGGGAAGCCGTCGAGGGCACACTCCATGCCGAAGCTTACGACACCGATCTACAGGATGTTACATAATGTTACTGGCGATAATAATGTCCTTAGTTTTGGATAAGTGTCGATTAAATTTTTGGGTTCAACAAGGTAAATGGAAGTAGACCTACATGTTATATGTACCTTGTCAGAGTGGGTGAGGAAGAAATAAAAAATACAGAAAAAAATAAGGAAACATAAGTGTGTGTGTGTGTGTGTGCGTGTGTGTGTGTGTGTATGTGTGTGTGTGACTAAAAATAATATATTGGTTATGCTTTGTTATGATCTTAGTATTAACATACAGTTATGAATGACAGTGGGCCACAAGTATATAAGTATGCCAAAACTGGCCCATGGTCTCAAAAATCAGTGATGTCTGCATACATGTACCGAGAGTCAGAATTTACATGGCCACTTCGTTATAATTTAACAATACTAACCTGTATGAACTCATGAAACATACAAGTATCACAAGCTGGTTTCAGCATAATTTGCCATAATGTCAGTTAAGAGGAAGGAAGGTTGAGTGACTTACCAAAACCCACTGCCCATTTTCTTTGACGAAAAGTGGTCCTCCTGAGTCGCCTTGGCAAGAGTCCTTCCCAGGATCCGCTGCACAGATCTGGGAGGAACATATTTTCTTAAACCATTGTTGCCTGGTACATGAACTGTCCGTGTATTTCTGTTTTGTAAAGTGTGTTTACACTTAATTTCACAATTATTCAGTCAATTAGCTCTGTGTTAGCTCACCTGATTTCTATATTCCTTGCTTTTCTTTTCTCTCTCTAATACTATGAACATCGATACTGTCATTAATACTGATACTGTGCGTATTGTATTATCATCAAAATAGTGATAGCAATTGAAAATAAAAAAAAAAAAAAAAATCAAAGAAAGGTGAGATTAGGAGTAACAATTGACTCTTTGGTGACTAAGCTCTTGTAGGGCCATCTCTGTGTAAAAACAATAAACTGAAATCACCGTGATCATGGTATGATGAATGCAATAGTGGGTTAAGACTTGAATTTTTATTTTAGTATTAAAAGTAATAATATTAAAGCCTTTGGACTCTGAGACAAGCATTTTACTAATATTCTGTTGAGTATGAAAACATACATATTAGGTTAACGGATTATCATTATAAAGAGCTCTGACATGAGACCTCCAATATCTTATGTCACTTTTTCCTTAGTGACAGTACAGCATCATAGCACACATAATGGTAGTATTCACTGATGATAAAACACATATTATATATTAGACCACTGTAGGAGATTCTATGTTATGTATCACTGGAACTCAAGCTTATGTCAGAATCTTCGTAGCAAAGTCACTATCAGCCCATTATCTGGAATATGTAATACTGGAAACCTAATCTCCTACTATAATGACTGTTACAGTGTCTAGTAATGGGGACATTGAGACTGAAATTGTTCTTTAATAAAAAAGCTCCTGGTCGGTCTGAATAGAGCTATGACTAGTCTGCAATTTGTCTCTAGTTGATGAGGATTGTTGAATAAGTTTTCTTGTATTAAGCCCTCTGACGACCTCGGGTCAAGCTGGATAGCACATGTAGCCTGCGAGGTGTTTGGGTCAACATGATCCTGTTTGGGTCAACATGATCCTGTGAGCTAAGGAGGACAGTTTCGAGTGCTGTGTTGTGAGTCTGGTCTGTTGGCTTGATTAACGTCTTGTTGGTAGTGATGTCACATAGGGAATTACTGTTCCCTTTTTGAGATACTTTTTCGGGGACTGTCTGTAAGAATATCGGACGAAATTTTGTATAAGGCAACATTCAGCCTGTCTACCAACAAGCATAAGACATCTGTAAGATCGTGGTTAGGAATGATATGTCCTGAGTAGAATCACTGAAGTGACTACAATTTGAGTATGTGCAAGTGGGAAGATAGAATTGTTGATGAAGTCTGGAAGGGATAGTTTAAGCTTCAGGATTTTTTTTTTTTTTTTTTTTTTTTTGAATGTGTGGAGTTTTCTTGTGAAGATTCAAGGTGTCTTTTATTTTATTTGTGATTACTATGATTGCAAAAAAAGTGACAAGAAAGTTCTGCATTCACTATGGTTACTTACGTGTTTTTTAGTGACAGGGAAGCCACTGGATTCGTAAGCGTTCTGACACGTCTTCTGCTTTGATACTGTGACGCCAACTTCATTCAGCTTCGACGGATATGACCCCTCTGAGAAAATAAGTCGGGAGATGAAATAAAAATACAATGCCTATTTCTTCCCCTTTTTCCTCTTCTCTCAGGTTGTATTGTCAGTAATGTGTGTAAAATCTGTATGCAGTGAGTTTGGTATTATATGCATTTACTTTTAGTCCATTTAGGATTTCAAGAGACTAATACGTTTTCCTACTAGGGGAGTTACTTCCGCGTTGGAATAGCATATATTTTGTAGTTTTTTTTAGCACGTCGCACGTGGCACGCCATTTGAAAATGAACATCCGGAAATATATGCAATCTTTCACACAGAAATGACGTGGTACATCACATTTGCCATGTGCAACTTACCGTGCGAGGCCGAAATCCGACTAGTGTGATATTTTTCAGCGGGCGACCTGCCACCTCGGACAGTATTGTCAGATTTTGAAGGAGTTTTTACATCCAAAGTCATTATTAGCCAAAAAAGAAAAATGTTAAGATTCAATAACATATGAAAACATCTGAATGCATGGCATAGACAGAGTAAATGTGAAGTGTCCAGACAGGCATTTGACAACACGGCTTCGGTTGCCCAGTGTTGGAGGCATTGGATGAGAGGAACCATGCGCAGTTTTGCAGGAAGAAACAATGCAATGTGTGTCTGCTCTCGTGAACAACTATGCCTCTTCCAATGAACCAGTCAACGCAATATTTGCACAAGCAGTGGAGAAAATCAGATGATTGTATGATACATCACCGCAGGTCAATAGAAATACTGTCCGTGTCGGAATTATCAAAATATTTTGTTGAGATAAATTCCGTACAAGTATTTATAGGGAATTAGTTCAATGCTTTGTTTCGAATTTTGTATCGGAGTGATCTCATGCTCCAATCCATTCAAGTCGTAAGTAATACGAGTCGTAAGTAAAACATGGAGTTGCCGCTCTTGCTGTCCAACGAAAACGGGTGAATCAGGTATGAGCGAAGGCAAATGTACATTGGGCACCCTAAACTTACCCTTATATACCCTAGGCAGAGAAAACAGAGAGTATTAGCTCAAAGTTGCCTCCACTTTATTCCTCCTAGTGACATATAGATGACTGTCACAAGATTACTTAGGACAACAATAACATCGTCATTCTCCGATGCTGTGAAAGCGGCCTGACACGCGCCACGTGCAACCTTGATCTGCCCCCTGCACTTGTTCTACCCTTTTATCCCCTCCTCCTCCATCTCCATTTTCCCTCCGAGGCATGGGCAGCGACGCTATTAATATTGTTATAATTTTCATAAACTTCGACATTTCATTCCCCACGCAATCCATTCTTATTGTAAATAGTTAAAATTAAGTTAAATGATCCATGTTAAATGAGGTGACAACGTGACGTCACGTAATGGTATATAGGTCTGTATGTCACAATTACGTATGCACAAGTGTTCTCCACATATTAGCACCAACAGTAAAACATGTGATTTACTGAAAAATATTCAAAGGCTGTATATGCTGAAACGTATTCATGTTGACAAATGTAGAAAAGGTATGAATGAGAATGAGTATCTTCACAATACAAGAAATGTATTTGACTGGTTTCGAATTATATCTTCGTCAGAAATACATGTATTTCTGAAGAAGATATAATTCGAAACCGGTCAAATACATCTCTTGTATTGTGAAGATACTTATTCTCATTCATAACTTTTCTATTATATATGCTATTCCAGTATCCCCGATGCTTGGTATCAGTCACGGTCACATTGTTGATTTATAGTTAGCTGATAAAGCAGGGTGAACTATACTTCTTATTTAGACAAGTAAAATGATTAGGAAATTAGTGGCATTGAGACATTTATATGATCCAAGTTCTTAACATTTCTAGAAAGAACGGGACAGGAATAGGGACAATGTTTATAAGTATCATTATTATTTATAGAATGGTGAATTAGTCATCATTAAGAACTGCAGGATACAATAGTATACACTATTTGAAGGTTATTTCACCGAAATGCTAAATAAATGTACCGCCATTGCCTGTGTGTTCGCTCTTGCCTATACGTTTCAAAGCTGTGACTAAAGTCCTCATATTTTTATTTTAGAATTTTATCCTAATATTATTATCCTCATTGTCATCATCATCATTATCATCATCACTGCAGCTATGTTAAACAAGCTGAAACGTGTTTGGTTCAGCGCCGTAGTTCACTGTGCTAAAAGCTGCTCAAAGAATTTTACAATCTGGTTATGATAGTAACCATGATCTATGTATTTTTCATTGTAACAGCCGAATTTTGGGCGAAATAAAAGACTTAACTCATGAGGTTACTAATGGCGTTTTTGTAGCAGAGTAACGATAATAGTGATGACGTGTTAGAAACGGTTAGGAGTGATATGCTTTTATGTGAATTTTGCAAAGAAAAGCGTAATAAAGTACATACGAACAACAATTATAATGATTACGTTTCAGCTTTTAGTATAACATAGTCATATCAAAACAAGGGTTCATATATCTGATGCGGTTCGTAGTGATTTACTATAATTAGACTGGTCTGGTAATGAACAGCAGGTGGGAGGGGGGGGGGGCTGATTGCTATCTCGTCACATCAGCACAGCTTCATCTATGGATCATGATGAGTGTTTGTGTGTCAGAAATCCCAAAACTTTAAAAACGTAAGTCTTTAAGATGTATTCAAGATTGACGTTCATTTGTACATCAAGGTATCGTATGGATTAACGCCAGTACATTAAGTACGATCGCAGCTTTGATCTAGATAAACGAGTAGTTCGCAGGTGTTACCGTATGTAATAGATCCTGTAATACAAACTATATATTTACATGAATGCCTTCCACTAAACTAGGTAAAACACAAAAGAGCATTGTTCCCTAAAACCGTCACAAACAACCCATTCAACGTTTTTCTTACCTGTTTCACACACTTATTGCCTATAATCGCAGTTACTTGTGAGTGCATTCCTTTCTGTATTTTATATTCTCTTCGTTATCTTTTTTTCTTATACTTTTATTATCTTCGTGTCATTAACTAGCATATCACTAAGGAGACGAGAGGGGGAAAACGGGATTGGGTAACCATATATACGGGCTTTCTTATCTATGCAAGGAATCGAACACAAATCTTTACTCCAGATGTACTGTATTTCTCTTTACGACAATTTCTACAATACTGCAAGTAATAGAACTATCACAGACAATTTATTAAAAAAAAAAAAATACACTAACAACACAGGAAAACAATGGAAATCTAAAAAAAATATATATATAATAATAAATAAAAAAATAAAATCACTGTCTTTACCCATGCAAGGAATAGAACTTCTGCAGGCAATTTGCATTAAAAAGATGTAACACACCAACTACACAACACTTACCTTCGTAACCTTATTAACAGGAATCCAAATAAACCTAAACAAGAATTAAGAGAAGAAGAAAAACAAATTCGCGTTGACAAATGTATAAAAAGGCATGAATGAGAATGAATATCTTCACAATACAAAATATGTATTTGACCTATTTCGATTACATCCTCGTATACATGCATTTCTGACGAAGAGATCACCTAAACCGGTCAAATACATCGCATGTGTTGTAAAGATATTCATTCTCAGTCATACCTTTTATACACGTTTACAAGAGAAAACAAAATAATGGTTAAGGAGACTCACGGTATTTCAGCGACCCCCATCCTGAGACAACGGCCTCCCGCCCCTCGAAGTTATCATTGGGAGGGAGGCAGATGGGTCCTATGTTGTTCGTCCATACCAGAGCCTTTTTAAGTGTTACTAGAGCGATGTCGTTTTCCTGTGGAGGTTAGCATTCCCGTTAGCACTGGCGGAGAAGTCTGTTGTTCACTTCTGAGTTGCTTATGATTATTTATATGTGTATATCGTACATCATGGAGTATACATGTATGTTGTACATAATTTACACGTGTATACATCATCATCCAGTAACTTTAAATCGAGGGAGGAATGAAATGAAGTATATGATGTGTATCTATTACGGGTGCTATGGAAATCGTATTATTAAAACTGAATTGATTTTAACCTACCATTTCTTAGTAATGGATGGAGTATATATGTAAATAGAAAAAAAAAAATCACAGCTGGATATACAAGTAAGAGTTAACGATTTTTTTTTAACACTTGTTTTCTTTCCCGTTTCAGATGTGCTGAAATTAATTATGTTAGTAATAATGAACCTATATGAATAAAATAACGTAGGCTCATACACATAGCAGGTATAACTAACGCGAAAAGGGTTTGATTTAATGTTCACACATTTAGGTCGCTAGTCCAGGTTAAGACTGTATTTAGGATCGATAAAAAACAAACGCTTTTATATAGCAGATATTCTATAAAAATACTAATAACAGTAAACTCTAATTTTAGAAGAAACTTCTTTATCTGCAAAATGCCTTATGTAATATTAAATATGAATTTTATTTTTTTTCTTATATACTTCGTTTCATTGTTGCTCTACACTTTTATTACCGTTGTTTTTATCATATGAGATTATCATATATATACTTTATTTCAGTCCCATGTTGGTTTATATTGATCTGCTGATTCACATCATACTACGTTGAAATTAAGGCAGTTTTACTAGAACAATTTACAGGACAGTTTAAGACAATGATACTGCATGATATTTTTGTTGTAACCTATTGAGTAATTCTCTTGAAAATAGTATGATATAATAACATATAAAGCAATTTTCTATCACATATTTGGGATCTCAGCTCTCTCTCTCTCTCTCTCTCTCTCTCTCTCTCTCTCTCTCTCTCTCTCTCTCTCTCTCTCTCTCTCTCTCTCTCTCTCACACACACACACACACACACACACACACACACACACACACACACACCTCCCTCTCTCTTTTCATTTATTTTCTTTGTTTCGCATCTCGCCTATATTTTTTTCGCTTATAAATTATGGTAAATTGTATTTTAATGACGGAATAAAATACACACACACACACACACACACACACACACACACACACACACACACACACACACACACACACACACACACACACACACACACACACACGGAGCCTACCTGTGTGTTCGAGTTATATTTCGGATGTGTGGTGACTTTTTTAGCGTCGATGGCCTGTGTCTCCGTTTCCTTGT